GGAAATTTTAACCGTGCCTCATAAACTGACGCGATCCTCGACCCTCGCATAAATCGTCTCTTAATAGACTATACTGAAGAAAAATGCAATAAGTGATAAAAAAAAAAACAATATGTCAAGTTATACAATAGATAAAAATGAAAGAGCTACGTAGAAACAATCAGTGACTGATTGACTGAATCACTGAAACGAGCGGCATAGATAACTAAAAGAACACGGATATGAAAATATGAAACTACTGAGAACTAATGAAAAAAAAATGAAAAATACATTTGAACATGTTTATGAATGGCTGAATCATTGCGATCAACTTTTTTAGATTTGGAAATATCCTTCTCAAGATGACAATGCGATAGTGAGCAAAGTTATTCAAAATCAGAGTATTTGATGCACTATATAGTGGTAAAGAGAAGGCTCATGAAAGCTTTAAAGAAATTGTCAACATAGGTCAGACAAAAAATACTGACGAAAACGTGATTGTTTTATTTCAATTTCTTGATAATAAGTTTATATTTTTTACTACTTGTCTAATTCAACAATGTTACAAAATTAGTTCTTGACTCATTGAAAAAAGTTTACTATGCATGCGATTGGTCGCAAATATTAGTTAATCAGGACTACGCTGATCCAGTTTTTGCTAGATAGAGGAGCTGCAATAGAAAAAATACATGGGTATGCATGCTTCAGTCGCTTTCTCTGTTTACGAAACCCTTCAGAAATACAGTCACGTTTTTGTTTTAGTGTAGATTTGTTTTTGATTACTTTTTAATCATATACTCCTTCACATCAATTACATATTTTGCCTTTAAACGTGTTGAGTTGCTTAAAAAGCGAGAAATAATGATTGATTATTGAACATAATTATGTCCATTCAGATAAAAATGTGTCCAGAGTGGATTTCTCCACAGTAATACATGTTTTAATCTTTGAACGCGGTAAAACTCGTGAAATTCATGTTGCAAACGGGTAAAAACATCTAATTTGATAGAAGTTTTACGCTTTTTAACGTGTTTCAGAATCTCGAAGGCGCGAGAGAAATCGTCAGAGCGGTGCTTAAACAGTAACCAAGCATTAAAATACTGTTTTAATGAAGTTTCAATGCGTTATGTTAAAAGTTTTGTCTAACTGAGCAACAACCACACTATCACTAGATCTCAGGTTTCCTGAAGGAGATGTGTTTATGAAAGGACAAATCAAAATCGAAAAAGAAGGACAAGTGTCTTAGTAAAAATGAACAAAAATTTATTATAAGTAATAATCTGCACGAATCGAAGTTTTTGAAAAGTATAGGCCTATAACAGGAATCACGATCTTTCCAGGCCATACTCTTTTGAACTGAAACGATCGTTATATATGGTTGTACGTTTGTTTGTATTTGCATTTTGTAACTTGCACCGTGCGAATGTACCGAAGATTCTGGGCCATTTGAGTGAATCAATTTTTTCTTACGACGTGCGTCACCGATAAAAATACTTATCCATATGAGAATGAAGAAAACGCTTGTACCAAAAGCAGTGCAGAATTGAAATAAGTAAGAGTTTCTTGTAGGCTTTTTCCATTGAACTAATTTAACTTTGATTTTGTGATAAAAACACGGATAATATGCACCAATCTAAACAGCAAAACAAAAGGAGCCATATTTTAATGATGAAAGAAGATCACGAGCTACTATCCTGCGTTGCTCATGTTGTTTCCCACTTTTATCAATTTTAAAGTCGTTGGTTATGTACGATCCGTTTCAAATATAATATGACACCTTAAAGTTTTCACTGTAACATGAAGCATAAGTACATATGTATTCAATGCAAATGCGACAATCATATACTTTGTAAGTATATCTATCCAATAGGCAGGTTGTATTTGTGTAAGGGATTCTTTCTAGTCGTTCGTGCGCATACAATCCAGAAGTTATTGAACCCCATATGATGAATGGGTTTGTGATAAGAACGATGGTTGTGCAAAATATAAGGTCAAGAGTTGTATTTTCACAATATAAGCATCCACAAGCCATTTCACAGTAAAAGATCAAAACATTATTTTCTTATATATGAATGGTTATATGCATACTCTGTAATAAAAATAACAGACGATTATACAATACTCTGATCAGGTTATTTTTTTCTCTTTTTTTCAGAAATGATGTCACTTTTGTCACATCACAATGGCCAACTATGACTATTGGAGAGAACGCAAGAGAAACAAGGCACACGTTCTGTGCATGTATTATGATCATTCAAAAGCCAATGTACAAACGAAACTAAAAGTCAAAGTACTATTAAACTAGTAGTTTGGAATATTTAGAATATGAATGAGTAATTCTAAGAATGATTCAATACATAGAATATCTCAATTACCCATACTTATTTAGACATTTAGGACCACGTTCACATTTTTCTAATGAATTAAATACAACCAGTTTATCAAGTTATCGATATATAATTACTAGGACTAATAAAGGCAGACGGAAAACTCTGTCATTATATTTATTTCTCTATGACAAATATTAGAAAAAGCAAAGACAATATTGAATACTAAATTGAACTTGCTTTTTGAAAAGTCTTTTTGTTTAGTTCGGGCGGTATGATACTGAGTGTAAAATGACTACTGTATTATATTGGTGTTGCATTTATTTATATAACTTTAACTAAATGTGTTTTTCAAAATAAAAATCAAAACGATTTTTAGGAATCAGAAAATTATTATTGAAGTTGTAAAAGTCAAGAAATAATACTGAAAAGAGTCATATAAACATTTTCATTCCAAAAACTTGAAAACTACACATATTATGCTAGAAATATATTAATTTAAATTCGAATTTATTTTTCGTAGAAATTAATCAATTACGGAGAATCTTCTTTTATGAAAGGGTCTTTTAATATGGGAAGCATTTCTATTGCGCGAAAAAGTTTATTAAATTTATTTAAATCACGTATTTGCTTTGTCAATACTTCGTCACGGGTACACTAAATGGCATTGAATTGCTAGAAAACATCTATATAAAAATTTAATTATTCATTACCAACTCGTCGATTATAATCGAATGAACAACAACCAACAGGCTTATATCATATAATTCATATCTTTTTTCAAAGTTTCGTAAATTATTTTATATATAATTTAGCAATGTCTCATGATCCCTCTATAGTGTAAATCCTAGGTGTCACTCTTATGATTATGATTTGCTAGGTGATCTCTACTCCATAGTACATTACTCATAATAGAATAAAACAAGAAGAAAGGCAATCTTTCATCTTAAAAAGAATAACAGTACATGGCAGCATCTATTTGTCAATATTTTCAAACAATTTGATATTGATTCAACCAAAAAATGTATTAAACAAGGCGATGTTACTGCTCTTATGATATGATAAATCTCTCAAAAAAAATAAAGGAATCATTTTTTTTATAAATATTTAGAATCAATATTATCATATGATTAAATCTTGTCAATTGTGTGAAAATATGATGGTTAAAAATTGTTTTTCATCACAATTTTTCTATGAGCCTAAATGAAGTAATCATAAAATAAAACAAAATGATTCAAAACAATCTTGTATTCGTTTGTTACCATATGAATTAGCATACCATGCTCTGTTGGTAAAGATGAATCATGGCTTGATAAATATGATTTTATTATGATACCTAATTTATCATCATCTTCATCATTAATCGAGGAAAACTCAAATGAAATATTGAATACAATAAGAAATTTTTATTTGCAAACATCAAGAGAATTGAATAAAAATGATGAACTAATCAGTCAATCATTAACAAATTCAACACTTTTAATAAAGGAAATCTGATTACTTGTTTTTTGGAAAATTTTTAAAGTGAAAATTTAAAATATCATTTGAATTAATCGTATATAAGTTATTTTGAGTGTTTCTTTTATTTTTAGATGAACATAAAAAATGAAGTATTCGAAACTTATATTTGCTAACTAATTCCACTAATAATTTTTGTATTGATCAGTTATTTTTCATAATCAACGATAAATATGTTTTATTGATAATAGATTGATTTTACTTGAGAATAGTACAACATAAATTTTGTCACTCAGTATTCATAGTCTGAATATTAATACATTCTTGTTTTTCACTCTATCATTAGATTGGAGTCTAAAAAAAAATCTTTCTTCTTGCCTCCATAATATGATTATTGATTATAGTATCTATGTGAAATACAGTCATCTTTCAAATGCTAATTGTCGAAGATATTTAATGAACAAAGAACTAGAACTCATCTTTGTCGATAGAAAAAAGCTATCTTTATTTGAATCAATTAGAACTATGATCAAAATGAATTCTTTACTTATAGATTGATTTTTGTCAAATATGGCAAAATATCTATTCAAATTCGAGTATTTACCAAATGAATTAATTATGAAGATGTTTAAGTATTTTGATGCTCATGATCTATATAATGCTTTTTATAATCTTAATCATCGTTTCAATACATTACTACAAACTGTCAAGTATCTTTCACTTAATATTTCTTCAAAAGAACATATTGAACAAAATTATCTTCAAGTTATTGCTCCCTACATTTATACATTGACAATTACCCAATCGATGAATGTCAATCTCATTCATTTTATAGAATTACGTCGGCTGAGTTTGGTGAACCCAACTGCTGAACTCATTTCACAGTTTGATACTTCTATTGTACCTTATTTAGAATATCTATCAGTAAACTGCGAAACGCTAACATATTACATGCCTGATTTGATTAGAAAAATTTTTTCTAATCATTTTCGTAATTTGAGATCTTGTCATCTAGTCGGTGTGGAACCAATATATACAAATGAAGGATGGACACAATCACCATCAATTCGTATTTTAAAAGTTGGGTTTATTGATTTATTTATTTATCAAGCCATTCTATTGGCATGACCAAATTTATCTTTCCTTGATTTGGAAACATCTTTCTCAACCAATACATTTTCACATAGTCAGTCATACATGAATCTTAAAAGATTGAATATAAAATTCCCATTTAAAATGTGGCCAAGAAATGAGCATGTTATTGGTGTTTTTTTCGCATGTTTACCCAATCTTGAACAACTTACTATTCATCGATTGGATGAACTATCGTTAAGTATACCACCTCTTGTTAACTATGACTGGCTTGCATCTAAAATCTCTTTGTATCTACCATCACTTCGTCAATTCACGTTTAATCTTCATTTCTGTCGTAAAGATAGACGTTTTGAATCAGTTCCAGACAATGTTCTTAATCAATTGCAGGAAAACTTCAAAAACGTACATAATAATCTATATCAATCACGACTTGTTATTGATTCATTCGATCCATAATTCAATGTAATACACTAGGCTATTTTCATAAAAAAACAGTTTTCTAATCTTTTTTAATGACTAAGTTGATGATAACAGGGTGGATGTGGGTGTTTATATGGATGAATAGATTACTCACACCTACATCCACGGTATTTCTCTCCTCAAGGGGTTAAATATTTTACCGTATCCGAAAAGGTGATATTAAACAAGCAAAACAGAGAATTTTTCCGATGCAGATCCATTAATACGATCTTTAGAGTCAAAGTATGAAGCTGTAAGTATCACGGTATGAATACGGCTGCGTGAGGGTGTGGGTTTCGGTCTTCCGTTCAGCTACAACGAGAGACACACCGAAACCCATACACCTACATCCATGTCTATGTTGATAGCATTCGATCGGATCGATCAAAACAAATATTTTTTTATGAGTACATTTTTTTATCCTGAATTTTCAAGAAAAAATTAGATGCTTACAATATCAATTGACACGAAGCGACGATTAACATAGTCTAGAGTTACACCTGCCATGATTTCAACATCCAACATCCGTATGCAGTCAAAAAACAAAACAAAACTTGTTTCCAAGCCATGAACGAATAGCTCACTGTCCTTCGAAATATGCCAAGATCATTCGTTGCTTTGTAGTTATTGTATTTATCATAGTAGCCACATGAACAATCTTTAAGTGATGTGACTCTTGTTCCCGATGGATCATGCGCCAATTTTAATGCATAATTGTTCGTTTGGTTACCAAACTCTGTTCGAATAAGATATTTTATATGTCTCTTATTAAGTTCGATGATTAGTTTGGATAGAAGTGGAACGTTTCGCGTGCATATCCAACTGCTTAATTTGAAGTACTTTAAAAGTAGAGTTACAGCTAATATGTGGATTTGATCCACAAGAGTAGGTTGATGAAGATCTAACGCTTGAGACCAATCCGTTCCCAATATTCGTTGCGCTAGTTCAATGTTAAACTTATATGACATTGGCTCGGGAAGAAATAAATAAGCAGCCATTAATGTGTGGTGGACTAAATGTTTGGAGGTTATTCCTGAAAAACAATGATGGTAAAAAATTGATTCGTATATAGTTCGACTTGTTGCAAACGAGTGAACATAGTGTAAATATTTATCTTCAATTCCAATGATCCATCCTATGTACCGCCACAAATGTAAATATGACTCTTTTTCTTTTGTTGATAAACAAATACCCATTCGATTTTCGATACAACGTAATGTAACAAAAGTAAAACCCAATAGCGTGGCAAGTAAATCTTCTTGATTGATTGGTATATCATGCGCCGAATATTTTTTAAGCTTAAAGCGAATGAACCCATGCAAAAACCTAACTCGTACAACGTCTGAAAATGTTTGATCGAAATTATCCACATCGCCCAAACAAGCGCTGGCTATCATTTGAACAGTTTCAACCAATCGACGATAAGTTGTCCGCAGATTCGACGAAGAGAGATATTGAGTTTTATTCAGCACATAATTGAATTGTTGAAAGCTGTAACCGACCAATAGTGTATGATACAGTAGTGCTACAAGAGTTTGTGGTGTATGCTTCAACAAGACTAGTTGACCTTCTTGAATTTGTTCCCTATTAAACCATGAGGGTCGTTTTTGAATCAATCGAACTAAATCAGGTTGATGTATCTAAATAAAATTATACATATCCATACCATTGTCAAGTTCTTTGCCATATGAATTATAAAATTCATCAATGAGGAGATCACCTTCTTTTCGCCATTGATTTAGTTCAGATGGTGGGATGTGCTGTTCAGTCCATGTAAAATTTTCATCGTAAAGACTAAATAATGTACCAATCGATGGATCGGGACGAGTGGATGGCTTCATGGAGAAAGCCATATTGTTCAAAGGACACGACATTTTTTTATTATACTGTTCTAAAAGAATGTTACTTTCTTTTTATTTTACTAAAGAGCAATGTACATCGACATTCTAACTCATGCGGCCTAAAGAATATTTCCTTTTGTATTTCGAGTTTCCGGGTTATCTCTCATCGTTAAAATCTATATTTGACCTCAACAGATTTTCCGTTAAATTATCTCTAATAACCGAAACGAATATTTTAACTTGAAACATTCGAATACAAAGTATTTAATAGTTGATAACAGGAACCAACATGGCATGTTTTCTGAAAATCGATTTGTTACTACTTTTCAAATTTTCCACTCCTTCAATGCTCGAAAACGATAAACGAAATGAGCTAGTCTGTAGCCCTTAAAAGATTACCTAAAATTGCCGCTGGAAAAATACTACCTTCTTAAATCGATCTGTTTGAATGACGTTCATTTTTCAGTACTTGAAAATTCTCTCTCGTACAGATATTAGGTTGATTCGCAACTATGAAAGTATCGAGTCGTAAAAGACTTTGCTTAAATATATGACACAGTACTTTCAAAGGACGCATCGCAAATTCCAACGTTAAACTTCAAAATTGACCCTTAAAATTGTCTTCAACAATAGAAGGATTTAAATGATCAATAGACTACGCTTTAAATGACTCGATCGGCACATTATCAGTTTATGGTTGAGTCTATTATACAAATAAATCGTGCTAATTATGACGCTACAGAGGATACACAAGTATCTGTTGAATCAATCCTTGAAGTGAACGCAAACTTCACAACTATTGACCGGAGAGTTGTTAAATGCGCCAGAGGATGTGGCAGGTACATCGTTGTGTCTTGTTCCCTCTTGTACCCATACTCTCACTCTCATCTACATTCACATACAGTCAGTGTCGCCATTAAAGACGAGTTAATTTTCACTTGTTTTGTTTGACGTGGTTCATGATCATTTTACATTCGATTAAAAATGTTTTTATGTACAGATAATCCTTAGATCTTGCTCTTGCGAATGTTGTGTTTGCAGCCTCTGTCCGTTATACAGTGAAGGAGGAATTAGCACCCTATTATAAGGTACTGTGTTCGTCGTTATTAGGGGCATTTTCGCTAATAACGACGATCAACTAATTTTTGTTCCTAATAACGAAGAACAATATTGTATCACGTTTTGAAAAGAACTCGTTTTTCGACAAAAGATGGCTTAAAAAAACGTATTTTAATGCATAACAAACAAATCCACCCAAACGCATAAAACTAAACGTCTTCGAACAATGTTTTTAAGTTTCGCTTTAATTTGAAAAAACACGTTCAAAATAAAAAGGATACATTTAAACGCGTTGGAAATAAAGATCGATGCGTTGAAACGCGCTGAACTTGCAAAAAGATGCCAAGAAACGCAAAAATAGCCTTTTTTCCTAAAAATCTACGTTGAAACGCATTTTTATACCAAATTTTTTTCCGTGGGTATGAAGTTCATTTTTTACTTACTTATTGACTAAGAGATTTAATTCTATTTAACGAGTAAAAAATAATAATCATAATCATTCATAGTTAAATCCTATTTATATCTACACACAACACAGAGAAAAATAGGTAAAGAACACCAAGTATAAAGAACGAAAGAAAGAAAGAGAATGATTTTAATGACGTTTTCACATCGTGCATAAAATGACAGAGAGAGAGGGATCAAGGGAAAAAACCATCCTCCCAAATATGTAGAAGAGTTGATATATTTAGTACAAAAGAATGATGTAAGCAATTATAGTAGTTGGGAGAATATGATGATACAAGAAGAAAGAGAAAAAAAAAATACAAGTTGGTGCATTTATGACAAGATGAAGAACTGAACAAAGTGAAGAGTGAAAGATTTTTAAGAATGTTTTTTAACACTATTTGTGATTAACCAACTATGAATATCATGAGCAATGCAAAACGTATGCATAATAGAGGTGTTACTTTATCTTTATGCTCATAAAATAAAGATAAATATTTTATTTATATTTATAAAATAAAGATTAATAAATGATAAAAATCTTTATTCTTTAAAAAATAAAGATAAATTAAACCTTTTTTTTATAAAACAAACATAAATAAATCATTTATTTTTTGGAAAATAAAGATAAAGGGAAGATTCTTTTTTTATGAGTGAAAAAGAACAAATATCTGATATAATAACGGAACATGTTAATTTAGAAAAGTTTATACAATGAAATTGTTGATTCATCTAAGAAGCGCTATTAAAAAAATATATTAAGCGTCAAAAAATAGAGGTCTTTAATCATCTGTGTGCGGTTTAATTAAATGAATAATTGAAAAAAACTGTTCTACAACATGTTCGATTCATTTTCAAACTGAGTGTTACATTTAACATCCGTTTGTGGTGCCATTAAAGGCTTCTTTAAATATAGATCATGTATTGTTCTTTCATGGCGAGGAACAGCCCTCTGTGGCGTATGTTACTTTGTTCTTAAACTGAATAGGTTTTTTAGAACAGATACGTACTTCATACAAAACCTTTTTTGACAGTGAATAGTGATGCAGTCGTGACTTTCTTTTGGAAAAAAATTTGAAACTGTCAATTTTTCTTTCAAGTAACATTGGTTCATATTTTTTCCACGTTAATTTCATTCTATAAAAAACCAAAAACGCTTCCACTGTTGTTCTATATCGAAAAAAAATCTTGTTAAAAATACGTTCCTCGAACATGAACACCTTTTCTATACTGGACAGTAAACAATTTTTGCTTTCTGTCTTCCAATTACAATATCTCTAACGTAAATATATATAAGATGTTTCTTTGAACTCTTTTTTTCCACTTTCACTTGTCTTTTATACACTTTGCGTGAGCACATTTCATATTGATTCAACTTTTCAACTTATGACGAAAAGAGCTATATCTCAACAGTCAATTACTTTATAAATGAAAACTATAGTAATCATCAACTTAAAATCTAAATTAACTGCAATCTATATTAATTTAATAGGCAAAAGAGAAAAACATTAGAGCATTTTCAAAGTACAGTAAAGTTTCTATTTTGATTGAAAACTTTTTCAATTTCAATTATTTAGCTGGAATCAAATGAATAAGAGAATAAATACGCAAACCTTTATCTAAGAATAATATGAAAGCTGATATTGGAAAATGTTTTCTTTATTTCACAGAAAAAAAAACATCAACTCGCTATAATGAACAAATTCGCATAGTGAAAAATATTTAATCGTTCTGATGGTGTTCACAAAAGCAAGATTTTACTATGTTTTCATTTTTTTTTCATGATTTAATTTTGCGAGTGATCGACAATTTTTTTTTTTAATAAGTACATAAAATGTATGTTGCTGTCACAAAATCTAACTTAACTCTTTATTCTTGTTAATCACTAAAAATCTAGTTTTTTTTTCTGGTTACTTTACTTTAAGACGACTTGTAACATGATATGTAGACCAAATTCATAGGAAAAAAATCTTTAGCATATATAATTCTCTTGAATAATGTTCACGGTTTCAATAACATCAAATATCAGAATGTCGTTGGGTGTGGGTGTGGGTTCAAAGAAGGCATCCACACGCACAAGCACACCCACACTCACTCTCGATTAAATTAAAACTAACGTTTATGATTCCGATCATAAATTAGAAAATTTACAATAACATGATCTATCATTCAATCTTATCAGAAAAAATTCCGTGGATGTTCAAAGACTGTAAGGTGATCAATTAAATTTTCATAATAATCGAGGAAGAAATATTTATTTCTTTTTTTTCTTCATATGTATGCATTCTCTACAGATAGCAAGCATCTTGCATTATCTGTGGCTGTAGTCGTGTTATATGAATGTTCTTTCTCCACTCAACAACTATGCCCAGAGTTTTCTTCGATTTCCTTGTCGTGTGTACATAGAAACAATCGACATATTTGGCTGTTAACGGTCGTCATTTTCGTTCCCCATGCCTACTATTGGCGCCTTGCGTACTCTATTAACCTAGATGTTTTCCGTCTCTAGCCTACCTATTTATTGTAAAATAAATTCATTCGAACAAGAGAGCACCGACATTCACATAAGAAAAGATAGTTGCCTACATTTACATTAGATAACAACAATAGAGCAAATTAGTAACAAATGTTATGCGACTGAACAAATTCATATATGTATTAGATATACACGTACAGAGCACACAAAAAAACAAATGAACCATACAGTATGGTTCGTAGAGAAAAAGACAGTATATTACGTATATACACATACCCCTAGAGAAAGTACTGAGTTCAGGGTACCCATATACTGAGAAAGCTCTAGCAGGGTACCCAATATGGGTACTTTGAAAATTCTCAGTAATTTTACTGATGTATGTACTGTTTGGGGTACCCGTAAAAGTACATTCACTGAATAAGTACCTGCATGGATACACAAGTCTGTAACTTTACTGAGGAAATCTCGACAGGGTATCCTAAATTTTTCGCGTTCTGTGTGGCGACTATTCATTCACCGTTTTCTTTTTTACGTACGGCTCTATATAAACAACTCGATAAATCATAAGAAAATAATCAATTTCCATACTAGTTTTTTCTAAATTATTTCTTGACTATTTCTTAGTCGAGGAAATGCCGAGCTTGGTCGTAAATTAAGATCGGACTACCCTGAAGTGGTCTACGACCAACTCAAGTTGAGTCGGATCCCGACATTGTTCCTGCTAAGTTTTTGGAATTGAAAAAATTAAATTGAATAAAGTTTAAAAAAATCTAGTAAATTATCTCAAGAAAAAGAAAAAATTTTAAAAAGTCAAAGATCAGGTTCGATCCTGAACGTATTGAAAATTTGGTAACAGGGTACTTAGAAATACTATACAATGGTACCCAATTCAGTACTTGATCAGTACCTTTAGGTACCCAATTACTGTGCATTTTCCAGCAGGGTACTTGCCAAAGTACCACTTAGGTACCTGTAAGTACCCGCAAGTACTTTGGTACCCAAAAGTTCCTGTGACATACTGGTATCAGGGTACTTTTTTGGGTACCCTTAACTCAGTATATTCTCTAGGGACTGTAAATCCTGAACAATATCCATTTAGCATTAATTGACAGCAAATTTGTTTGATTTTTTGTTATTGAACACATATGGACTCAGATTCTATGCGACTCAATCAGAACTTTGTTGCGCTGATATCACAACACCGATACATTAATTTCAACTACCAAATTCATGACTAAACTGAATGATATTATTAATAAAAATACATTCATCATTTGTTGGTTCTTGAGGTAGATTTCGAATAAAAGGTATATTGAGAATCTCCGTATAAGAACGAGGTCGTTGTTCAGCTTTTTTGTTCAATCTAGCACAATTTTAAGACTAATATAATGAGAAGAACAATTTAGGTAAAACTACTCACAATTGTAAAATAAATCGCCTGATATTGTCGGAGATGATCGCTATTGGGACTTCGGGATTCCACGCTGCAATTTTCCGATATTGAGCAGAGTCATCCGAAGCAAGACACGGATGTTTGCCGAGGACAATTTCGAGCAAACTCATGCCCAACGCCCACATATCACCTTGAATGGTGCTCGGCTTGGATGGTATCTGCACAAGTTCAGGTGGAAAATAGGCAATAGTGCCCATAACACCGCTCTGCACCGAATCTGTTTCATTTATTTTGCAGCAAGTCCCAAAATCACTCAGTTTAAAAACAGCACCGTTACTGACGAGTATATTGTCTGGTTTGATATCTCGATGAAGATATTTTTCCTCTGCCAAAAATCCAAGTGCCGAAGCAATCTACATAAGATAGAGTGAGTGAGTGACTCTAAATTAATAAAAATATATTCTTACATTGTGAACTAGACGACATAGAAAACGATTAAAATTGATACTAAAATTGTCTCCGAGTAGATGTAGAATTTCGTAGAATTTCTTGGCTGTTGTATCCATTAACTCCATACATATGCATAGTTCACTATGCTCCTTCAAAAAGAACAATTTAATACAAAAGAGAGATGAAACTTCACTTACTGTATCAATCATTGCACCGTAGTAGTCTATGACATATGGACAAATACCAGAGCCCAATTCTTGCATCATTTTCAATTCAGTACGTCTTATGGAGGCTCGTTCTTCTTTTGTTGAAAGTGAGATGCGCTAAAAATAAAAAATCATTTGTTAAGCAGCATGCATCTAGTTTTCAAAACAAGGATAAATGTAATGAAAATTTCCCTACCTCAAAAAAAGCACAGACTTTTCAAATTACAATAGGTTTTTCTTTTTTTTTCGAAACTGCTAATTATCACAAATTTGATGTTTCTTGTTGAGTGATAGACTTAGTTATCTGTGAAAGCTACGTACTTTGACGGCCATACGAATGTCTGAATGTCCTCGTATATTGACACTATCCACCCGACCAAAGTTCCCCTGACCAAGATATTTAATGACATTAAAATCTTTCACATTGACGTTGATCCTTCGGTTGTTATAGATGAGCTCGGCTGATCTTTTGGGTGCTTCTAAACTGCAAGCACAATTGAAAGTAAAGAATCACAGTCAGCCAAGATGCCTTACGTGTATTCGATCGGCTTCTTTTGCTTGTCTAGTTTAGGAAGAAAAATTTTATACTTGGTTTCTAAAATTGAATACCATATACAACATTTTCAATCCATTTCAAATAATGAGTGCGATAATTGATACTCTTGAAATTTTCTTGGATATTTTATGATTTGATGTGATTGTACAAGATATAGTTATAAAATATATTCTATGCTGAAATTTTAATGTTCTGCGCTTATTTTTGAACTCTTAAACACGATCTTGTGCTGCTCTATTGTCTTAGAAACAATATGCTGAATAAGATTAGTTACTCTTCATCCATTATCAAATCAAATCTATCTCTAAAGCTAACACATCGAATTTGACCTATTTTGAAAAGAACTTTTGATAGTAATTGTTTTTTCCTCAAGAACAATAAATAGAAATTGGATTGTCAACCTTTTATATCAGATATGTAGTAGAAAAAATCTCTATATTAGCATCATAATTCTTAAAATAAAGATAAAACAATTCTTACTTTGCTTTCGAGCCCTGATTTTGACTGATATTTTGTCAAATTGTTTCTTGATGTCAGTGGTAATAGGTTGGGTAGCACCAAATTTTTTGGAAACATCTTCAGCTAATGAACATAAAATAGGGTAGATATATATATGTATTCTAATGATCATGCAAGGTTATTTCTTCTAAACTTACTAGACTGAGACAATCGTGGAATCTGATGACCGATGAACACTGATGATGTATTTGATGGTGCAGGTTGTATGTAAAAATTCACAACATTATCATCCAATGGGTTTGCAATTTGTATCTCATCACCTAAAATTAATAATGTGAAGAAGCACGTTTTTTACATTCGGTTCTTTATACAGAGTCTTTTATTTAAGACTTACATAGAAAAGCCGCTTGCAAGTACAGTTGTTCTTCTTCAGCAAATGTTGTGTTTTGGTTTTCTTCCCTAACATTCTGATCTTCAATGCATTTTCCATTATCCTCATCGACGAAGGATAGTCTACCTTGAAGGTAATTTATATTATTCATCGTGTGCATGTGATTTATTTATCTAAAAATGGCACCATACAAAAACAAAGGTAAATCACTATTTATTATCATCAAGTATTTTTTTCTGATATGTTCATAAAAAAGATTTTAATTGTTTGTTAAGTTCATATTTACGTGAAGAAGAGCTCGATGACTCTGAAGGCTGATTGGAAATTTTTTGTTGAAACTTGTTGAATTTGGTAGGAAGAGAGGATTTCGAGCTCTTAATAGCTTTTATGGACACTACAGATGTATTGTTAAATGAAACGAAATACATGATTATTTATGTTTATGATACGTGCAGGGTTATGACTAGCTATCTTCACTGGTGGTTGTTAGTATCACTTAAAACATAAACATTGATTGAAATTTTTGGAAATTTCCACTTTTCTCAAAAAAATATGATCCCATATTTTATAAATTAAAGCATAATTTTCACTTATTAAACTAAAAGAAGTGTTTCTTGAAAATTTAACAAGGTTCATTAGTAAAGTTGTTTTTATTCACATCGTAAATTGCACTTTTTTCACGTAAAAAGACAAAACCGATGAATACTTTACCTTTGAAATGGCAAAACACTGTCTAACAATACAATGTTGACAGAAAAAAAAAACGACTCTTATGTTTTACATACTTAGTTATATACCTGATCAAAGCAGTAGCGAAGTTACACTTGTTATTTCCTTACGACCTTTGGTAATAGCCATGCAAGGTAGGAAAAAAATATAGTTGCTCCATTACATAGAAGCCTGTTGATAGTCAAATGAAAAGAAAAATGTTAATCATTACATCTTGTTCGAAACGGAGAAGATAATGAGTAGTCGAAACACGTTGGTTTTTTCCGATTCTTTAGTTCTTGTGCAGAAAGATGAAATTTCTTGCTTATTTGCGATTTGTTTAACTCTCTATCCGTGATAGAGTCTCAAGGAACATAGTGCCGACTACAAGTAACTTATGAAGAATGAAAATAAAATAAAATAAAGCACAAACATAAAGCATATAAAAGTATGAACAAAGAGAACATGAGTCGTGAGCGATGATTTGTCGAGTCGAACCACTTTAGTATGCAAGCAGCATGCATAAATCAACGATGAACGAATAGCCTGAGACGTACAGAACAGAGCAGTGTTATATAAACTTGATACCACTTTTTTAAGAAACGAACAAGTTGCTATTGCGCCTATCCCATAGATAGATTTTTTTTTCTAATGAATCATCTATTAAAATCCCACAGTGAAAAAAAAGACATCAAGAACGAGCAAGCAACGGGATTCACCGTTCCCTGGTTATCAACAGCATGATAAGAGCACGTGCATATATCGATTATTTCATTTTTTTTCTTTTTCCTCTCCTCACCTTTTCTGACGTGTATTTTGGCTGTCGGTATACTTGAAGTTTTGAGCAGGCGTGTTAGTCTTCTCTTCATCCTAACATTCACACTATTTAACTTCCACGATGTATTGAAAATCACATATAATTTTAAAGAACAAATTTTTATCAGCCTAAGTAAGATATTCTTTCTAGTCAAAATCTAAAGTATTTTTCAAACGATATTATCACACCACAGTTAATCTATTTTAATTATGGAAGATTGAATTTCAATATTCTTTTTCAACATATAAGTTTTACCGTTAGTGAGACTAGATTTGGACTTAAAAAATCAACGATGAAAAAATAATGCGGATCTATTGTTAACTTCCATACCCCATATATTAAATAATGATTTGATCTTTATAACTAGTAATTCACTTGATATATACATCCCTGTATTCCCTGTTTATTTCCCCAGTGGCAACTATATACAGATGACTGAACTAGGAAAAAACCCAAGGACAATTGAAAGAAAACTTGATGAGAGGTAAAATACCTATATTGTATTAGGAGAAGAGAAGAGAATGAATGAAAAGACAACAAAAAAATATATTGTATGTGTCGTCTACCTATGGTAGAAGAACAGAAGAGCGAGAGAAAAAAGTATTTTCGATATAAGTGAGTCACACAATAACGGAGTTGAGAAAAATTTTTACAGTGATGATTTTTGTTACTTCGCATTACAATTCTGAAAACCAAAGTCAAATTGAATTTTGCATATTGATATAAAATTAAAATATAGACAACAGTTGAATTCTGAAACAGGGATAAAGAGTATCAACGACCTTTAAATAAGGAAATACATACTGTAATAATCCATTAGAGACACATTCACAGGATATTGGATGATGTTGATTTTGTCTTTTTTTTTATTTATATTTAATACAAACAGCAAAGAGCACATGATTATGTTGTATATCTTTTTTTCTGAAAATATTAATTCCTAATGAAAATATTGTCTTTTTTCTTTGACAGCTTTATAAACAAAAAACTATGATTGATTCACATCATAATCATTCACGGAGTTAAACGTAAATAATAGATAACGCTCAAGTTTCTGGGTGGTTTATGCAAGTCTTGGAATTTACCATAAGTATTACTTATTGCAATGCAAAATAAAACGTCAAAAGAAAATAAAAAAATTTCAGAACACCAAATCTCCAGAAAAAAAATCGTCATTAGAAAAAACAACTTTCAAAAAATTATTAAGTTTACAATAGATATAAAGAATAAGTCGATTGAAAGTATTGAATAGTTCGATAGGGAAACAAATAGAGTATTATACTATATAAGAAATGCAAAGTTCAATACCCTGTTAAATAGTATTTATTCAAAAAACTAATAATAAACTATGTCATGATCCGCTTTTTTTTATGGTTATTTTGTTCACTCTACGAATGTCAAGTATATTTTTCTTATTGTTGATTCCATTTCTTGTGGAAAACATGCGACAAGATTTAATAACATGATTATTTTGTAAATGATTCTTTCATCAATAATACATCTATGATAGTTAATATCATATCTCATGTACAGAACAAGATAGAGTTATTGATGACTTCTCCTGTGTTTAGCTAAACAGGACCATTAAATGATAGTTTTCTCCAAAATACAATATGGGAAGAAAAAAAAACATTCTGTGACGCTCTCTGGTTGTAATTTTTGTATTGCGTTTGTCACTATCAATATTGAGAGTATTTCTTAATTTTGTGCTGTAAACAATGAATTATTTTAACCACGGTTGACATATTATAAGTACAAGAGAATGAAGCTTTCAGATGAATACATGACAATAAGCCATACGTACATACCATCCTGCTGATTTGATTAGGAGACTTGTTTTTTAAGGTTTTCTCCTTATTTCTTAAGTTTGAACTTCAACTTCTTGAAAGATCGTAAGCTAATATATAAAAATACAAAGAAAAAGAGAAACGATTTATTCTAATTTTGAGTAATTTTTGGTTTTATAAAAATACTTCCAGTCTGATGAAATTTTTATCGAGTAACAACTGAAACAGAATGATGCATGACTCAGTTAGTGTGAAATTCAAAATAAATGCAAAGATTGACTATTATTGTATACAATTTTATAATTATTGTCTAAGTAAATCAAATCTCTTTAAACAACGTCCTTTTTTCTCTAAAAAAATATAGTTCATATTGGATTCGCAAGTAATTTTTCTGAATATATATAGGCATATTTCCAGAAACGACCGTAAAATCAATGATCATCTGAAGGTGAAGTTTTATCTTTTTTTCATTTTATACGATTTCTAAGAAAAACCTTTTCTCTATCAAGCTAATGTTAAAAAAATAGTCTTCCCTCCAAATGAAAAAGAAAACTCGTGATTCTTTTTAGGGTATATCTTCTAACTACGTTGCAGATTTTCAAAATATGAAGGATCACTTGCAGTCATTCATGTTTAACCATTTTCCACTGGAGTATTACCGAAATTTGATAAAATATCAAAATCAGCATGACACTAATATCGAATAAAATTTGAGTTAATCATTATCCTAGAAACTCAATGGGACATTTCTTTATTCAAGGCTTTGCGCAGGATGTTCCATGGAACAAGATGGGACAAAACTTTTTCAAAATAATCCAATAAGACAAGACGGGTTATAACTGTTGTCTGAGAGATTCTATGAAAGACTTTCTACGATTTTTTCGAAAAGAAAATAAATTGCTAAAACAAACTGCGTACATCACAAATTATAGTTTTAACAAAAAAGTGAGCCCATTCTTTCATAGAATCGCGTCTAAAAAAGTTTTAATCTGTCTTGTCTTCCAGAGTTTTCTGAAAACGTTTCCTGTCATCCCCTGTGTCATATGGAGCATTGTTCTCTATTGCTTATGCCTATAATTGAACATCTTAGGATTCGAATATTTTCAACGAGGCACGCTTTTAGCATTTCATGCTGTGCATTTTATAGTGGAACATTGACAACGTTAATATTGTCCAAATATGTTCGATCTTCTTAACTTACAGTACAAGGCATTGATCATCAATATAAATTCCAAACTTGTCAAACTATCTCTAGAGTCGAAATCAATGAGAATGTTTCATCAGCCGATTGAATAACTCTTCAAACTCATTGAAATCGGGAGAAAAGCATTTCCAAAGCTGTTCGACTAAAAACTGACTCAACACATTCAAAGTTACCTCTTATCTCATATGCAATCATGATGAAGAAAACAAAATACAAGATTTTGCAATGAGACTCACCTGAAAAAGTAAAAGCAAAGCAAAGCAAATAAATGTTAGTGTTTCGTCTTCTAATGTAATTTTATAGCTTTCGGTCTTTTCTCTTGTTAGCAAATACTAAAAATAACACACCATCAATTTATTTGCGTTATATTTTGTGTATCCTCTGACATGAAAATTGTCCTGTTCGCAACGGTATGTCACCAACTAACTCAAACGCTTTCTACAGTTTGGAAAAAAACCACATTGATGTAAGTTTCACAATTTGGAAAAACTTTCAATCGTTACTTTGGATAACAGGAATTCGAAGAAAAAAATCATAAAAAACAAAAAAAATATTATTGATGTTTCATCTTGTTTTGGACAGAACACTCAAAAAATTTTAGTGATACTTAAGTTTGAAGGCAATAATTGTTTAATGATTATTTTATTAAATATATTGAGTACTCAATCCATACGTAAACGAAATTCAACATAATGAAGACCATTGCAATATATCAGTCTTTTTGTCTTCGAGTAAACTCAGAGTTATTTTAAAATTGAACGTTGATGAATACTTTACTCACACTAAAAGACTAATTCAAATAATGACTATTATCATCAGACTCAGTATAATTATGTAGAACATGGATATGTGTAAGAGTGAGCATATGAGTGACTCAAGATTTGTGATTATGGATAAACGAGTGTGGATGTGGATATGACTGTAAGTCTTCTTGTTACCCACATCCGCATCCTCGTCTACTCATCAAAAAAATCATGACTTGTCGACACATTTCAATCCGAAAACAATAGAACTATGCATTCAATATCATTGATGGTCTTTCCCAATGGCTTACCGAGAAATAGGTTGCCTGGTCCAAAAGGTTGATAATGAACATTATTTTTCTATTATAATTTCATACATTATTTTATTTATTCATACTATTCGTTCTTGGAATAGTTTTTGTATATGTTAATTTGTTTAGAATGATGACTTAATTTATTCACTCATTTTTTACTGGATTTATTTTTCCCATAATACCCAGAAATCACCCTAAGAATAAAAAGCTATTAGAAACACAATAGAAAAATCAATCCGCAAGAATATTCCTAGTCAACTGACGATACAATCTCTGTTCCGAATCGTTCTTCTCTTCGAGCATGGTATTCATCTGTGTGAGATAATCATATTCGCTGATCTTGTCTTTTCTGGCTTCCAATTGTTCCATCTGATCCATAAAAATGTGTGTGTGTTCTCCAATGATATCCGTGTAGCGATTTTCTAAATAATGCACCCAAGATTCCTTATCAGAAATAAAATTAATCAAAAAGTCTTGTCCAAGCTCTCCTTTTTCGCGTTGAATTTGTGCAACAGCTTTTCTTACATCATCATGGGTTGCTTGCGACATTTCAGGGTAACGCATAAATTGCAATTTCTCTCCGCCCAATGGCATATCCAAAGTGTTTGCTGGAGAAGTGTAGAAAAACAAGGCTGTTTCAAGTACATCAACCTGTGCATCTTCCGTGTTCGGTGCTTGCTGTTGTGAGTGTAGTAAAGCTAGTTCTTGTAAACGATAAAAATTAAAGATTCGCTCAATTTCCCGACAAACCTCTTCATCAGATAATTCTAAGGCAATCATTCTTTTCTCAACCTGTTTGATTTCCATTTCGAATAAGGAAAATAAAATGCCGTTATGACACGTCGAAATAACATGCTGTGCTTTATCATAACAAATTGTGCGTAAATTGGAATTGTTCATCATTCCATCCAGCAATATACCGATACGCTCTTTAAAGGCTTCGCGATATTTTGCAGCTTCCGGCAGTCTGAGAATTTCTTCATAACGTGCCAACCATATCTCCAAAAATCCGGACCCAGCTTCATACTGAAAAGCCTCTTCCCATCGTGCAGCGAATACTGGGGAAAAGTCACCAAACGACGCTAGTGGCACTTGGTCGTCCAATTCAAGAAATTCGATGTTATGAATATTTTCAGGAAATTTTAGAATACGATTATGAGACAACATCACGGTCTGAATTTTCGGCAAATGTGCCAATTCTTCTGAAACCTTTCTAAGCTGATTACAGGCTGCATTGAATAATTCTAAATTTTTGAACTCTTTGATACTATCGGGTACCTCTTTCAATACATTATTTGAAACATTCAATAGTCTTAAGGTGGTCAAATTAGTTAAAGTCTGTGGTATTTCCGAAAAGTAATTGTTGGCGATCGACAAAAATTGTATATGTTGCATTCTTCCAATCACATCAGGAAGCGTGCTTAGAGAAAGAGAGGATAAATCCAGCCTATCTGAACGTTGCTTATGACAATCCTTGATTCTTTCCTTTGCCTCCACATCTTTTACACCATCTTCAGGATCTTGCCATGTTTCTAAAGAGTTCGTCAATTCTGGCCAAGTCACAGGCTTTGGAGGTGCTAGTTTTAAAGATTGTGTTTGTACGGAAAGCATATTGACGGTACCTGCTCGTGCACCACGTTCCAAGTCAGCTGAAGAATTTTGAAGTGGCCTTGCGTCCAAGCGAGTTTGCTGCGGACTGCCACGATTTTGGCGTTGATTTAGTACTAACGAAGTTCCACGAATCATAAGAAAATCTTTTAATTCTATAAAACACAGAAAATAATTCAGAAAAAGTATATGTCGAAACTGCTCGCAACTATCTTTCTATCGGCTGAAATCTTGATTTACTCATTTTTCATTCAGATTCAAACGAAAAAAAAATAGTACAGCCCATACAAGTACAAGCAGTATTCTCCGCACACGCAGTAAGCGATGACTACAGTAAAATCTGCAAAGTCAATCTATTTCAGGCCTCTATATCCGTCGATACCGTCCTGAATATGCAACACTTTGTCTTCAATCAAACGGATACTCAAACAAAACCAGTGACAAGCGTATACAAGTGTATATGGTACATCGATATCCTATCATAATAATCTAGATTCGATTCAGTTCATCTGGGTGTGAGTGCGGATCGATCAGAAATTTCCGACTGAACTCGGTCAGCAAACGTTGCCATGGAGGGTGTGAGTGTGGATGCAGGTGTGAATAAAGAGAAAATATCTACATCCACACCCTGTCGAACGCACGAAGTCTACGAATCTCCTTCGAAAGTATCCCCGGTTTCACGTTGAAGAAACGAAACCTTCTGATTTCTTACAAAACTACCCATGGTTTCGTGTAAAACAAACAAAACCGGAAACTCTCCTTCGTAGCTGTTCGTCGTGTCATGTTCTGCATACGTAATCTAAAAGAAAATGGATATTGGACTGTGGTTAATTTGATGCAAGCATAACAAAACTTTCAAACCTCTGACCGGTTGATAGAATTCAGAAGAAGTTCCATCAGAAAATTACGAAACTTAGTAAAATCTGCGTAACCTAACAACGTTTAGAACTATAAACATAGATTAGTTTTTTTTCACTGAACCTAAAATCGTTCCGTAGAGAAATACAAAACTTGTAAGGTTCAGTAGAAAACTTCTTCTTTGAGTGTTCATATCATTACTTACGAATGACCCACCCCATGTAGCACCCTCCATTTACACTCCTTTCGAACCCACCAGTCGTTCTCAGCGAGACTAGCAGAAACCAAAAAATAGTATGTCCCATAGGCAGAATGTTGAAGTCGAATTTCGCTCACGGAAAGACGGACATGATCGAATTTCAGTAATGTTCAACTATTAAAATTTTTAACATTATCGAAATATTGAGATTTCTAACTTTCTGAAGTCTAGAAATGCTTGGCATTATAGGCACAACTAAAATTATTGGAATTGAGGGTGAAAATGAGGATGAGAATGGGCCTGAAAGTGGATTGATAAGGATGAAAATGTGAAGGTGAAGGATAAGGGTGACTTGGGTAAGAATAACAACGTCAACCACTCACACCTGTATCCCATCCTTGCACTCATCTACACACTATGGCTCTGTTGTCATGATTTACTCACTCTTACTCACATCTCCGATCCCCAGAATTTCAATAGTTCATAATTATTGAAATTCAGTCATTATTGTTATTGATGGTATGAACGCTACTCCAAGATTTATCGATGATACTCTAAGGAAAGAGTGTACTACTATAAGATTATATATATAGTAAGTTTTAACTTAACCTATGCATATTACACCACGCAACGAGTAGTATTTTTTAAAGATATCATAAAAAAGTTTGACGTCCATTGTATAATTCATAGTTTTTCTATAGGCTTATGTCTCGTGCGAAACTCGATCGATCGATGAAAACTACATATCACAAACTGCTTGTGCTCTCGAGTCATTAGCAGTATACTGACCTATATATAATTGTGATGCCGACAACAGTTCTCTGTATTGAATCGAATAACGAACTATAATGTCTTTTAGTAATAACCGATAACTAGTAAATACACTCCTTTACATGTGTGATAACTGAAGTGGGTCATGCGAATGTAAGTCAGTCTTCTATGAAACCAATGGTGCAACTATTTGTCTACCATTGTGTGCTTCATATAATTATTGTGGTTGTGTTGTTTTTCATCATCATCGAACAAAAGAAAAACATTTATGACATACCAAAAACAACTAACGTTGCTTTTATACCAACAAACCCACTTAGGAAAAGTGCATGTCATTGTTGCTTATCATTGACACGTATATAGGTTTGTTATTATCGAGAAAAAAAGATATAAAATACAGATCATAAAATAAGGTTGAGTCACATTTCACTTTACCTGTTTTTTTATGAATGCATGATAAGGAATGCTTTGTGCAAATTCAATTAGTCATCTTAGTACTTTAAACTCGTCTTCTAGACTACATTGTATATTGTGAGATTCGGATGAATCACACTTTTGTTATCAGACTCAGACGTCATCTACGCACTTCATGTATAATCGTCTTCCGAAAAATTCTAAAATGTCACTCAAGTACAAAAAATTCGAAATTCGAAATTTCATCGAATGAAGTTTCTCTCTATTTCTGAAGATACCTCCAAACTCGAGTTTTTGATGTAATACATTTTATTTCCGTCGTCCTTTATAATTTTCACAATCGTTGGGCGAGGTGGATGTGAATGTTGTATGTGAGTCTAGATGTTCTTCTTAAAAGTAATCAATGCCAATTGAAGTCAATTGAGAGAAGATAAACAGTAAGATTATCATCCTTGTGTATTATTATGTCAAATTAATTTGCGCTATCGAATAAATCCTTAGTTACACATCTCGTAACATCGAGGATGTGGGTGTTGGTATAAGTGTAGGTGTAAGATGAGGACGAACACCTCGACCCACGTTCCACACCCACACCCTCTAAATAGTGCTGAGTTGCATGATTCATTAACAGAAACGTGGACGACTACGAGTAGTTTGAATATTGCACGATATTGGCACACAGCATCTGTATTAACAAATGGAACTGTATTGGTTCCTAGTGGATCTACGAATGTTACTCTGAATAGTTCAGAATTATATTAATTATCTCAAACAAATAAAAAATCAATAATTTTATGGTTAGACGTACGTGAATTGCATTGAAACACTAGTTTGATATACAGAACTACTGAATACAAATGACTTCGTTTGATGTCTTTACTTGATTTTCATAAACATGATAATTCATTTTAAAATATCAAATTATTTTTATTTTTTTATTCAATATATAAAGCCGATCGTGACGAAAAAGTCTCAGTTCATATAATTATTTTCATAATCTTATACAGTTTCATGAAATTTCGAATGCATCTTCTATTTAAAATTTCTACTTTCCTCGTATCTGTAATTAATAGCCCATCAGCACTTAGTCCGATATTGGTGAATTAAATATTTTACTTCATTTGCGTGAATTTCCAATGGTTTTCTTATGCGGTCAAAGAAGCATTGAAATTTCCTGTCTCTAATATGACCTATAGTGACAAGGGTGTGGGTGTTCGTGCCGGTAAAAAACTCCGCATTTACCTGCACGCGAGGACCACAACCATACCCCATAACCACCAGCCATATCCACACTTACACCCACAAATCTATTCATTTGTCTGGATTTAATCAACACGAAATACATTCGTCGGTGTTGAAACTTTATTTTTATATTTTCATTAATCTATGTGGGTGTGAATTAAGTGAGGGTATTGGTCGTTGCGTTACTAAGTAACTTAGGAGGAACATTAAGCAATAGAAACAACAAACTTTTACTTTCTATAAGGTGTTTTTTTTGTATTTTTAAATAAATACACGAACAAATGTTATTTTTTATTTCGTGCATACTACTCAGCCTGGATGTTGACTAGGTGTCAGACGTTCTACATTATTATAATAGTTGCACTGAATTGTATCACTCAATTAGTTCATAACAAGAATACCGTCTCGTTCAGGCTTTTTCTTCTATGTAAACTTCCAGATATTTCTGTTAATCAATCATTGAAATAAAAAATTCTACTCAGATGGAAGATTCATTAAACGAAATACTATGTCTGATCTTTGATTATATGAATACATTGAGATATGTTCAGATTTCCAAAAAAGGAAATTACCTATATTTCTGAAATTTCCATCAGCTCGATTACTATATAGCAGTGCAAATCAAAAGTTTTTAGACATATTGGAAATTTCAGCAATTTTAGAAATTTCTGTAATTTCAGAAATTTCTGTAAGTACGTCATTGCAGAAATTTCGGAAATTACATCATTTTAGGAAGTAACGTGCAATTCCGAACACACATACTTGAAATCTCCGAAACTTCCAAAATTTCCTTTTTCGGAAGTCTGAACACTGCTGAATACATTCGGCTTATTGTTTACATTTATTTCTCTTAATTCCCTTATATCATGAATTTAAAGACTAATTTACCTTGCTTTTTTTTATTGATTTGCTCTTTTGTTGTTGTCAAGTGGAATTTCTTTCTGATTACTTGACTCTTTCTTCTGATCAACTTACTTTGACGAATATTCACGATGAAATCCTATACCAAACAAATGTCATCGGACAACAGTTTCATCGATTATCAGGTGCGGGCGTGATGTTAGTCTTTCTCAGATTCACACTCTCACCCGCCACACCCACACTCAATTCCGAATTTATCTGATGATGGCTCTTAAGCAAGGCCTAGCTGATCATCATAAGTAGCTGGATCTGTAAAAAGAATTCATCTGTAAACGTATCAATATCCTCGTCTCATGCAAAATAATAAATTTATGGTATGAATGTATCGATGATTTAGTAGCTTGTGTAATTATTAATCATAAAAAACAATTAAACTTTGTTTTTTGCAAAGATGAATCTATTCGTAGTTGGTTTCACTATTTTTGGTTCTTCTAGTTTTAAACTAAATAGTGATCAATCATTCATTCTATTTATATCTTCTGTAGATTTCATATTCTGTCTCAAATGTTCATCGTCTTGTTATTTTTAATGAAATTAGTTTATCGAATATGAATAAAAGTAGTTTAGTCAATATACAAGACAATTTCAACAATTAGTGTCAAAGAACTTTTGACTATAATGATAATTGGACTTGCTACGTGTTTTTGACGATCTACACAGTTCATTATGTTCATGTTCATATCGATCATATAAATTTTAGGTAGCTAACTGACCATTGTAATAAATTGGTAAC